GTTCAGTATGCCAGTTTTTAGCTCACCTGTCACAAAGTGACAGGGTGAGCTTTTGTGATCGCTTTTCGTCCGGCGTCCGTCCGTCGTCCGTCCGTCCGTCCGTCCGTCGTCCGTCCGTAAACTTTTACTTTAAATGACATCTCCTCATAAACCACTAAGCCAATTTCATCCAAACTTCACAGGAATGTTCCTTTGGTGGTCACCTTTAAAAATTGTTCAAAGAATTTAATTCCATGCAGAACTCTGGTTGCCATGGCAACCAAAAGAAAAAACTTTAAATATCTTCTTTTAAAAAACCCAAAGAGCTAAAGCTTAGATATTTAGCATGAAACATCTTCTAGTGAGTGTCTACCAAGATTGTTCAAATAAAAGCCCTGGGGTCAAAATTGGCCCCGCCCCAGGGGGTCATTGATTTTCCCTATATGCATATAGTAAAAACTTAAAAATTCTTCTTTTAAAGAACCCAAAGAGCTAGAGCTAAGATATTTAGCATGAAACATTTTCTAATGAGTGTCTACCAAGTTTGTTCAAATAAAAGCCCTGGGGTCATATTGGCCCCGCCCAAGGGGGTCATTGATTTTCCCTATATGCATATAGTAAAAACTTAAAAAATCTTCTTTTAAAGAACCAAAAGAGCTAGAGCTTAGATATTTGGCATGAAACATCTTCTAGTGAGTGTCTACCAAGATTGTTCAAATAAAAGCCCTGGGGTCAAAATTGGCCCCGCCCCAGGGGGTCATTGATTTTCCCTATATGCATATAATAAAAACTTAAAAAATCTTTTTTTAAAGAACCCAAAGAGCTAGAGCTAAGATATTTAGCATGAAACATCTTCTAATGAGTGTCTACCAAGTTTGTTCAAATAAAAGCCCTGGGGTCAAAATTGGCGCTGCCCCAGGGGGTCATTGATTTTCCCTTTATGTATATAGTAAAAACTTAAAAAATCTTCTTTTAAAGAACTCAAAGCGCTAGAGCTAAGATATTTAGCATGAAACTTGTTCTAATGGGTGTCTACCAAGTTTGTTCAAATAAAAGCCCTGGGGTCAAAATTTGCCCCGCCCCAGGGGGTCATTGATTTTCCCTATATGTATATAGTAAAAACTTAAAAAATCTTCTTTTAAAGAATTCAAAGAGCTAGAGATAAGATATTTAGCATGAAACTTGTTCTAATGGGTGTCTACCAAGTTTGTTCTAATAAGAGCCCTGGGGTCAAAATTGGCCCCGCCCCAGGGGGTCATTGATTTTCCTTATATATGTGTATAGCAAAAACTTAAAAAGTATTCTTTGAAAAAATCTAAATAGCTAGAGTTAAGATATTAAGCATGAAACATCTTCTAGTGAGTGTCTACAAAGTTTGTTCAAATAAAAGCCCTGGGGTCAAAATTGGCCCTGCCCCGGGGGTCATTGATTTTCCTTATATGTGTATAGGAAAAACTTAAAAAACATCTTTGAAAAAAACCCAAATAGCTAGAGTTTAGATATTAAGCATGAAACATGTTCTAGTAAGTGTCTACAAAGTTTGTTCAAATAAAAGCCCTAGGGTCAAAACTGGCCCGCCCCAGGGGTGTCATTGTTTTTAACTATATGTGTATAGTAAAAACTTAAAAAATCTTCTTTAAAAAAACACAATGAGCTACAGCTTAGATGTTAAGCATGAAACATCTTCTTATGGGTGTCTACCAAGTTTGTTCAAATAAAAGCCCTTGGTTAAAATTGGCCCTGCCGGGGGTAGGAGAGGGCAGATCATTGTTTTTCATTATAAGTGTGTACATCATGAAACGTCTTCTTATAGGTGTCTTTCAAGTTTGTTCAAATAAAAGCCCTGGGGTTTAAACTGGCTCCGCTCCGGGGGCCTACATACAGGTGAGCGACCTTAGGGCCATCATGGCCCTCTTGTTTTACTTCCTTCCATTTGACCTTTGCTAACTGGTAGTTCCACAATTCCTACTTTGAATACTATATAAACACCCTTAAGATATCTTATATGTTTTTTTTTAATTTGTCTGTTGACGTCTTGTCTGCGATATGTTGACTTCATAAACCTCTGATCCTTTTCAAAATTCCCGTTTTACCCTTTGTGTTATCGTTTAGGACACAAACATTCTTTTTCCATTGGGGACTTACGCCGGTTTTCGTGGTAAAGCAAGAACGTATCACATTGAAGGTTCCATGGATACCGCCGTATAAATACACCTGCGGACGTTTCTTAATTCAAATGTTCATCATTTCCATGTTTAATTGTTGAGTTCTGTCTATGAGCAGGAATAAATTTACATTTACCACTACCACCAATGAATAGGCACAAACAAGCCAAGCCTTCAACATTTTAAATTCTTCAACTTTGAACAGGTGTTCTTTAGGGAATCACAAAACTATGACTTATCGCCTTTGCACTCTATTTAAGTGTCGATCAATTTGAAGTATACAAAAATAAATAATTGTATGCTTTAAGGGGGTAATATAATCAAATAGTTACTTTTTCCTGCTGTGTAATATTTATGATACGCACAAAGCATCCAAATAAACAAACGGTCAAATAATAAAATGAGCCGCGCCATGACAAAACCAGCATAATGGGTTTGCGACCAGCATGGATCCAGACCAGCCTGCGCATCTGCGCAATCGATCAGGATCCATGCTGTTCCGCTTTACCAACTCTATTCAAGTAGAGAAAACTGATAGCGAACAGCAATGGATCCTGATCAGAGGACTGCGGCGATGCGCAGGGTGGCTAGATCCATGCTGGTCGCCAACCCCTATGTTTGTTTTGTCATGGCACGGCTCAAATATTATAGCAGAATACCAGTACAATTTAATCTGACGAATATTGTTTCTAAGGAGTATAAAATTGACGATACGATCAATCCTTTTTATATTGCAAAACATGCAGTTAGCCTCGGCGTAATATAATATACACCGGACGCATCAGACATTATACAACATAGGTTACGCGTGTCCCTAGTGTTGGGAATCGGAAGACAAACTCATAATCGATTAATCGGAACAATCGGACAGGCTCTCCGATCAATTAATCGGAATAATCGGACTGGATGTTTTCCAGCACAACTAACTAGAAAATAGAAATCATCATAACTTTTATTTAATATAAATTAATGTTTTTATCTAATTGTCTGTTTAACGTATTACAAAATACAAATTCTTAAGTCAGGACACAGTTTACATACATGTAATGATTTTCATACTGATTCATATTCAGAAAAATCAATGTGTCACTGTTGCCAGCATTTACTTATTTAATCAAAAATAAAGTTTTTATTTAAGTGCCTATTTAACATATTACAAAATACAAATTCTTCAGACACAGTTTACCACTTTACATACATGTAAAGATTTTCATATTCATATTCAGAAAAATCAATGTGGCCATGTTCCAAGCATTTACTTATTTAATCAAAAATAAAGTTTTCATTTAAGTGCCTATTTAACATATTACAAAATACAAATTCTTCAGACACAGTTTACCACTTTACATACATGTAATGATTTTCATATTCATATTCAGAAAAATCAATGTGTCCATGTTGCCAGCATTTACTTATTTAATCAAAAATAAAGTTTTTATTTAAGTGCCTATTTAACATATTACAAAATACAAATTCTTCAGACACAGTTTACCACTTTACATACATGTAATGATTTTCATATTCATATTCAGAAAAATCAATGTGTCCATGTTGCCAGCATTTACTTATTTAATCAAAAATAAAGTTTTTATTTAAGTGCCTATTTAACATATTACAAAATACAAATTCTTCAGTCATGCCACAGTTTACCTACATGTACTGATTTTAGTAAAATCTGTGTCTATGTTGCCAGGCAATCTAAAGCATTTCTATTCAATCAAAAAAATAAAGTTTTTATCCAAGGGTCTTATTACAAAATACAAATCCTTCACTCCTGCCACAGTTTACTTACATGTAAATACTAACAAGTTACAACTACCAATACATTTTCATATTCATATTTAAAAAAATCAATTTGTCTATATTGTCAGCATTTAATCTAGATCTTTTCTTATTAACTATATTTCCTGCCAGACTAAAGACTCTTTCCGAGGGGACCGAACTTGCAGGTATAGCTAAAATGTTTTTTGCAACTTTTGCTAATCTTGGGTACAAATATTCATTACATTTCCACCATTCAAGTAATGTCAAAGTAGTGTCAGTATTTTGCCGCTGTGAGTCTAAATATCTCTGTATTTCATTTTCAATAATGTCATCATCAGTATTCTGGCTTTCACCAATAATAATTACATCCTCTAACCACTTATCTGCATCACTGCACATAATTTTCATTTTCTTTGCTGGGCTTTCAACAATACTTTTATCTGAATCATTTTCAATAATGACATTTTCTGATGGAAGACTGGGTAACTGTGGCAAAGTATTTTCACCTTCATTGATTTCTATCTTTTCAAATTTTATTTTACCAGACAGATTTACATCTTTCACCTGTTCCTTGAGAATTTCCATAGCATGATCTTTTTCTTCTTGGCAAAGGAATTGTAGCCCTTTAGTGTCAGGATTTAAAACTGCTCCTAGCAAAGCAAAATCCTCTGTCTCAGTTCGAGCATTCATTTCATCAATCATTTTTCTTTTTACATCCCTGATAATGTCATCATCACTGTCAGCAATTGAAATAAATTTCATAATTTTCATTTTTGTTGTAATAACTTTGTGCATTGTCGGTTTATTCTGTGCACAAAGAATCTGTGTTGCCTTCAAAAAAGGTTCTAATATTTGGACAAGTTTTTCGGCCAAGGTCTGTTCTTCAAAAGTAAACAAATTTGACTTAATTGTGACTCCAGCCGACTTGGAAATACTAATATCATTTGCTACGGCAGTTATATAGGGCATCTGTTCGATTAACCGCTCTAACATAGATAGGGTACTGTTCCACCTTGTGACACAGTCCATTATTAGCTTGTGTCCAATATCATTTTGATTTCTGCAGTGAGACGGATCTTTTTGTTTAATCATAAGAAGGTCATTTCACTGATGATGACTGGTGAAAAAATGTAACCAGTCTTCTGCCTTTCTTCAGCAGTGAAGAAAACTTCAGGAATGTTTAAAGATTTTTTCACAACCAGATTAATTCTATGGCCATAGCATCCAAATCTATTCCAATCAAGTAACTTAACAGCTTTCTGTTCATTGGCTGCGTTATCAGTGGTTATAGATGTCACTTTAGTGATTCACCAAGCACTTGTGGTCTCAAGCAAGTTTTTAGAAATATTTTCACCTGTATGCTGACCCTCAATTTGTTTAGTTTGCAAAACCATACTTTTTAATTCCCAGTCTTCTGAAATAAGATGAGCAGTCACTGTATCAAAGCTTTCCGTGTTCATGCTAGTCCAGCCATCATGAGTTAAACTTACACCTTGAGCATTTTTAAGATCAGTCAATACTCGGTTGTGCATTTCTTCATTTTTCTTTTCAAGAGCCCTCATTACAGCCTTTTTTCCTGGAACAGTGTATCTGAAAAAATCATAATGTGTCATTTAGTTTAAAGTAGTACTAGTTTAAAGCCTTTGAAAAATTGTACAAACTCAAAGTATTCAATTAAATAACTACTGTTAAAAGAAACTGAACAGACAGCAGACTAGCAGGAAATATTATGTAAGGCACTCTGATATTAATTAATAATTGGAAAAGCTATATAAAGATATAAACAAAAGATATAATATTTTTAACATTTTTTTTGTTTGTTTTTTGTTTGTTATTCTTATTTGTGCAGGTAATGATCCCAAGATATTCCTTACATGTAAACTTTATTTCAGTAAAATAAGACCATGGGTATAAGGCATACAAGACAGATGAACAGGCAAGAGTAATGTCAAATGAAAATTGCACACACAAAATTAATAAAATAACGAAAATATTTCTACATGTCTTATATTGACAATATTGATTATCTAATAATAATGGATGACAATGATAAATATTTACCCAGGATTTAATTCCTGTACAAATTCTTTGAAGAAATGATTTTCAGTTAAACTCAGGGGTAAAGCTTTCCCAACCAGAAGTTTCAACAATGAATCATCCGTCTTGTCCCGTTTTTCTGTTGACAACTTAGGTATTTGCCTTTGAAATGAAATTGTTGGTTGCTTCTGCATCCCAAGATTTTTCTTCATTCCAATAGACTGCCTGTGAGTGGCATCTAAGTGAGCTTGTAGATTTGTGGTGTTCCCTGAAAAAAAAATATATAAAAGATGCTCAAGTATAAATTAATTTAATATGCATGATCAGGAATAAAATTGTAAGTTACCATTTCACATAAAAAATTTAATTATTTTATTTCATTTTTAATAACAGAATCGCCGTACCATAAACGGTGTCATGGTAAATATAAGCTTAGAAGCCTTTTAATTGATTATTCAACTTTATAAATGGACAGAGTAACGAAGATTGTAACAGTAAAATACAGTATCAGAATCCAATTTTAATTTAAACGGGTGGGGTACCTTTATTTGCATATCCTTTACCACAAAGCTTGCACACAACTTTAGCCATGTCCAAGTTATCACGGGTAGCGGGTCCTTCAATATTTAGCTTGTGGAAACCAAAATGATTCCAGACATTTGATGATGTTTTCCCTGGATAGGGAAATACAGCCTGAGAATTATTGTTCAAATCGGTCTGGGTTTTTTCCTCCGCCATGCCGTTTTCGTGAAGATTGAAGAGTATTCAAATTAAATAGCGCAAAGCTAAAAAACTACGAAAATAACTACCACAAAGGAACAAAAATTAACACTAAGCGACAATCGATTCTGTTCGACCATAATCGATGTCGGCGACATTATCAACATACCGATCTATAATCGGATAGCGGCGACAATCGGACCATCACTACGTGTCCCTGAACATTTTATTTCGATCAATTTTGTATGATGTTAACCTATTTATAGTAAAAAACACTTGTACACATCAACAAGCTATTGCGATGTAAAAAAGAAAGAAAAAAAAACGAAAAAAAATAACACGAAAAACATTACTTATTGATTGATGTGTGAAAGCCATTTGCAAATGAATCAAACAGATATTAAGATTACTAAATAAATATTCAGTGACTTTTTTTTATTTTTAAATTGAAATTCTAAAGTAAGGACCTAAAATTATTTTTTAATTTAAAATAAACTTAACAAAATTCGTCTGTAGAAAGTGATTATAAACTTGATTGGTTTATTTACACAAAAAAAATTGTTTTATAGACTAACCGTTCATTGACAACTATAGTTACGCAACCAAGAGGGGAATCGGTTTTCGTCTTTTTAAGTTCGCTATGAAATTTTAAAAAGATTATAATAATAATTATTTTCAAAGAAAATCTTGAGTTTACAGTGTTTTTCTACTTTTCATGTTATGTATATACTAGGATAATTATATTTCTCCAAAGATAGAAGAAAAAAACATTATTCAGCTAGTTCAGACTGCACGGACTTTCAGCCTGGATTGGTTCGTTCTAGTCTCGTAGTTGTATTTCTGTCCCAGTATTTTTTTCCATTTCTCATATTAATTAACAAAGCACTTTTGGTTAGATTAGTAATCTAAGGATAGCTGGTCATGTGGTTAGTTCAAGTCCCGTCAGGGGCATGTTGTGGTTGGCTTTGTGCAAGTAACTTTATACTCATTGCTTAGTACCTATGTTTAATGCCTCCACCCCCTCCCTCTTGTGGCTAAGGGGTTGCCTTTAATCGTTAAGGCATCATAATTGCAGCCACCGTTTATCCCTGCGTTAGTACAAAGGCGTATAAATGGGTTCAAATTAATTGAGTCTTTGAATCTCTTATTAGGTGAGGTGGTTTTGACCTTTAAGTTTGTAAGCCAGAATCAACTTCCCTGTTTCGGCGGCATATGACCTAAATTATGTTCGACGTAAAACCCAAACAAACCAAACAAATTTATTACCCACCTTCATGGTAATAACACGTACATCTTCATGACAACATTTCATTGTACTATTTCTCAAAATAGAATGTCTAAACTGCAGACGTCTGTTTGAAACACCCACTCATTAAACGGCATGGTGCGTTACATTGTAAAGTGATATATGATACGTTATAAAGGAGTGGTGCACTGCTTATTTGAAATGGCTAGACATTTGTACAATTTGTATCAAATACTATTATAGAGACCGAGAATGAAAGCAGCACGCCTTGCCTTTAGATAAAATCATTCAATTGTTCATTAATAGAAAAATATCGTACGAAAATGTATAAATCTATATCTGATGGTATATTTTGTAAAAAAATATAATTAAATTGTTTTCATATTAACCTAATGGCCGTATCTTAAAAGATTGGTATCTTCAAATGTCTATGTTAACATAAATGTTTTATGATGAACTGTTTTAGAACAAAATATTACGTTTCTTTTTTTATAGCAGATTTGTCGATAATTTCACCCATGATTAATTCGCGTTCAGTAGAATATACTGACAAATTTTTTTTCTATGAATCCTGTAATTATGCTTATCACAATATTAAAGTTTACTGCGCTAAGACATCAAACATATAGCTGATTACATTTTAAAACGTAAAAATATTGTTTAAAAATAATACTGTAAAGTATTGATAATATCAATTTACAGCAGGCTGTCAAGTAGTTATTATAATTGAGCCGCGTCACGACAAAACCACCATAGAGGGTTTGCGACCAGCATGGATCCAGACAAGCCTGCGCATCCGCGCAGTCTGATCAGGATCCATGCTGTTCGCGTACAAACCCTATAACAAGTAAAGAAACTGTTACCGAACAGCATGGATCCTGATCAGACTGCGCAGATGCGCAGGCTGGTTTGGATCCATGCTGGTCGCAAACCCATTATGTTGGTTTTGTCATGGCGAGTCTCATATAAATGATATATTTTACTTAACACATCTGGAAATATTGTATTGGTTTCATATCAGTTATATATCAATTATTATACAACATCTGTCGCAATTGTCCATTATAAATGTCACAAAAGTGAGCACGCGTCAATGATAATGTGATAAATTCATTGACGCGTGCTCACTGGCTTTTTATGTTAGAACCATTGTTGGCATAAATGCACCATTGTATAAGTTGATAACTATCATAATTTTAGGATAATATGATACTTAACAATTGCTGATACAATCTGTATAACAGGACTAATAAATCTATCAAAACATCTTCTTTTGAAAGTATTGTTGAACCTTTACAGTATACGTAAGTGACTTATCTATTTATATGTTAACGAGGTTTGGATGCACTAAAATGCCTGTCTAATGTTTTCCCTATTTAATGTTGCTTGCATCTCCAATGGCTGCTTCTAGAGGAATTACCCAGAATCCCAATGGGCCTTTTGCCGCCAGAGGTTACAGCCAATAAAGGTTATTAAACATATACTTACGTACTCAATCTTTTTCGTAACAAGGTCCGTGAGTACCACACTATGCACCCGGTCATATTATTATTGTGTTACAGTATATGTTGCAAATGTTTTGGTCAAATATAACCTTTTATTTAGGTATATAATGCTTATTAATATGTATTTGTTTATTTCTTAATTGTTTTTTTTTGCTACATTTTTTAGAACTTTACAGACTTCATACATGTAACGGAAATACAGAAATAATTTTACAATTTCAAAACATGTATTGTAACCAAGTTGATTCCAATTTGTTGATAATCTACAGTTAGTGTAAACAAGTCAAGTAATTGAACTAAAAGGACAAACAATTTTGTAAAGTGCTAAAAGGACAATTATATTGCCGACACAAGAATGGCGTTACATATGTATCATTTTCGAACGCCTCCTTCCATACTGCGATTTAAACTCTGTGAAATATGGCAGGTTATGACGCATATCACTTTATTGTATAGAACAGAAGTGATTCCTGACGTGTACTATTGTTTTGATACATTGTCAGACATTTACTTAATTTACCATCAATTGACGCGACAATATGTGTTTTAAGCGAGAGACTGTAAAAGGTTGAACCGATCCTTTAACATTGAGATCTACTTATGGTTAGAAAATTGTTTGTCCACAGCTTCCCCGCAAGATCAAGTTTAATTTACAATTAGGAGTGCTATACCATTTTAGCATTGTAACGTTTCATCTCTGTCATAATTGCACGTCCATCAGGTAATCAAAAACTATTATTTCACTCTGAATGATATTAAGTTTATAGTACGTGTATATAAAAAAATATATTATACCGTACATGAATATGCTCTTCCTCTATCTGTGTGTCAGTGTGTCTTTAAATCACGGACTATTATTGCGGTGTATTTTAGTGGTATATTACCACGAGGAAGATTTTACAAAACGCGCATAAGCCAAGCTATCTGCCAAAGGTTTCAGTAAAATTTACTTGAAGCAGTCACTGATAATGCCACGAGAGCCATACTGTTTGATAATACCTTTAATGGCACTGCTTATACGGTGTTAAACATGGTTGTCTGTCCTTTTTTCAAAGCTATGCCATCGGCGACATAGCAAAAATAATTATTATTCCTACTACAGCTGTCTATCACAGTATTTCTTCAGTTTTAAACCAACAACATCATGAAGCCATATGTCATCGTCTGTGTTTTATCATCGTACGGAAATAATGATGCTACTGTATTTGGCAATAGTCTGCATGTGGACAAAACTGACATACTGTCTTTTATTTCAATCCTCACATTATGTCAGCATTGGTTATCAAAATAATTTAAAGCATCATTTTATATTTAGCAATCTTCATTTAGACGGAGAAACAAAATGGATTCGTTGTTACACTTTGAAAATAACTCCCTGCCATTGACGTGTTCTAAAGGTTATTCCTTTGTCTTTTTGCTGTAAAAGGACATTTGGCTGATCATTGACAACTGCGATATTTTAGCAGATTATGATGACCCGTAAGCAATGATTATACTCTTTACATTTAGTCATACAAATATCAGGTAAAATTCACTGCAGGTTTTATGACAACAATGTGACCTCGTTTAATGGTATGTTAATTTGGGAAACTTGGTCAAGGTATGCATCTAATCGTAATGTAAACGGTACTCCGATCTATTGTATTATTTACCTCATTTAGTCACGTATATACTTTGTGCATGTCTTGAGTGAAATAAAGATATTGAAGTGTATTGTATTGTTATGCATTGTATTGTATTATATTGATACAAATACAACATGTTTGCATCTTTGTTACAGAAATGTGTTTAATATTCTAGCTGTGCAGCAAGACAAAATACAAATGCTTTATTGTAAAGATAATTGTAACTTTTTTTACAACCTTAAACTAAATTTGGTGAAAAGTAATGGTGCTTATTTTAAATGTCTACGTGTACATCTGTTCCTATTAAGCTTTTCATTTTTCAGGTGCATCATTCTAAATGAATGTATGTTCTCGAGGGCTCTTTCCTATAAACAGTCATGTTGTGTTTTACAACATTTTCACGGACGTTATTTCTTCAAAATGAACATTAAAACAAAAAAAGGTATATATATATATATATATATATCTTATCAATTAATCGTCAGACAATGGGTGAAATGTATGTTGTTGTTATTGTGTTATTTTTTCATAAACAGTCATGTTTTCATGGCTGTTTCATTTCTTAAAAAAAAAACATATAACACTTTGTCGTATAACGTAGAAAGAACTCACGGATGTTACATACTTTTAATATACAAATACAAACACACATGTGAACGAGTTGAATACCAAAACTGAACTGGTCTGCCTGGACATTTGAGAATAGTATATATAAAGACAACCTGTCATAAGGACATTTTATAATGTATATAAATACACGCGTTTTAGAGTTACATATATAAATCATCTTGACATAAGCTAGTCCGCATGCATCCTGAACTATAATAC